CTCCTGTTGTGCTCTCGCAGCCCAGGATCGGTGTGAGGAGAGGCCGGGCCCCGACACCACAGGGGGTCCCCGGGCACCACGGGGCTCCGCCGGGCAACCGGAACAACCGGCCAGTGTCCCCGGGTCCTCAGGGAAGGGCAGTGTGTGCAGCGGCACGAAGAAGCCACGTTATAGCTCCAGTTGTCCAAAGAAAACATGCCCCATCCCTGGGAGTGTTCAAGGCCAGGTTGGACACGGGGGCTTGGAGCAACCTGCTCTAGTGGAAGGTGTCCCTGCCCGTGGCAGGGGGTTGGAAATGTAGGAGCTTCAAGGTCCCTTCCAGTCCAAACCAGTCTGGGATTCTATCATCTCCGAAATTAAATTACAGCTGCTACCAGACACCTTTTCTCCCAAAATGTCTCCCATTAAAGAGGCTAGCACCTGTGTCCAGCCCCAGAAAAGAGAAGCTAGAATGTTTTTCCATCATTACAATGCCTGGACTTGGAGCAAACTGGAAAAGACTCTGTAGGTACAATTGAAATCTCTATTTATGTTCCTTCCAGGGCAGGAAAAGTAGAACCATGGGGAACTAGTGTCTGTTCCCATCCAAACCTTTAAAATAATAAAACTCTTCCCAGCAGCAAGAGGATCAGAAAAGAAAAAGGGTTTCATGGTGTATCACTGTGTCATGTTAAACTAGACCCTACCTGCAGCAAACCCAACTCTTCTCACAGGCAATGATTGCTCAGCTAAGTGCTTCTTTCGATTTTAACCATTCCTTTCCTGAAAGGCACAAAGAGCAGTGCATGAATCCCTGCCACATCTAATAGGGCTGATTTTATAGACAACAGAAATGCAGATAATGGAGTGCTCACTTTGTACTGTCCACTGTACACAGAGTGTCTCGTTATTTCCCAGCTCCTCCTTCAACAGGTAGCAAGGAACTTCAGATCTACCCTCACCTCACCTGAGGCAGCATTTCTAGAGCTCAAACATTTGTTAGAAATCACCAAATATCTGTGGGGCCTCCTAATACAACTTCCACTACTTTTTTATAAGAGCATGTAGGGACAGGACAAGGGGAATGGCTTTAACCTGCCCGAGGGGAGACTGAGATGAGCTCTGAGGCAGAAGCTCTTCCCTGTGAGGGTGCTGAGGCGCTGGCACAGGGTGCCCAGAGAAGCTGTGGCTGCCCCATCCCTGGCAGTGTTCAAGGCCAGGTTGGACACAGGGGCTTGGAGCAACCTGCTCTAGTGGAAGGTGTCCCTGCCCGTGGCAGGGGTTGGAACTGGAGGAGCTTTAAGGTCCCTTCCAACACAAACCATTCAATGAACTCTTTTAGGCAATTCTGAAAATGAAAATACAACCTGCTGTATTTGCCAAGAAAAAGAGCCCAGCAAACCTGCCCAAGCACCAATTGCAGAGCGTGTAAATCACAGCCAGCCTCCAGCCCAGCTCTCATTTAGTAACTGACATTTACTCACCCAGTGTACAATTACAGAGGAGGAGGAGCAGAGTGCAGGAGTTGCTGGCAGATAAATATAGATTTACCAGACTACTTGCTGCCCTTGCAGATGAGGTCACATACATTTAATGTCTATTTTAAACTCAGACACTTTTTAAGCATCCAGTGGCCAGGGTCATTACCTTTTTTCCACATTAACAGACATTTAGAGGAATCAGAAAAACATAATGGCTGAGTAATTTTAGTACCTCAGAGCTGGTTTTCATTGCTACTGCAGCCTAAACTTGGGGGACTTCAGTGACCTTATTTCAGCTATCCTGGAAATAAGAAATTGCTGTTAACTGTCAGGAGCCCAATACAAACCTTCATTTTCCTCAAATAATGTTATTTCCTTATCACATATGAAAAGACAGACTTTATTTTTATATAAAAGAGTATAAAATCAGGCAGTAATTACTCAGAACAAGTATAAGATTAGTATTATCATCAAATAACAAAAGAAAATTAAATACAGAACTAAATCCTTAATCAGGTGGCCATACAACATGATGAACCCCACCTCTTTATACCTCTTGCATCAAAACAACAAGAGTATTTGATTAGGAATCCATCAGACCCATTAAACAAAGCTTTTCCTCAGTTCCACCATGTGATGGAACTACATTATTACATTATGTTATAGAAAACAAGGGCATATTTAGGGAATTTAGCCTTTATAAAACACAATTATATTAGAACTGGCAGCTCTATTACTGAACAACACTAATTTTTACTGTGTCTTAATATTTTAATGCCAATTTATTTTGTTAAACTGTATCTCATTAACACTATTCTGCCAGAGCATTTTACATACTTACAGTTACCAAGCTATCACTATACACGTTTCTTAAAAGCCCTTAGCAGAAGTGTGATAGCAGAAATAAGTAAATACTTATATGATTCATTGGCTTTAACAAATCAAACTCAACAAAGTATAAATGACAGCTTTTTGAGAAGGACAAGACTATAAGTTGTCTAAAAGCTGCCAAAATAATCTGCTGGTTTAGTCTGAACGCTACCAAGAAGCAGCTCTAACTGGAATGTTTAACGTACGAGGGAATGCACACAACTATAAAGCCATTCTTCCTGCTCATTCAGTGGCATCACATGCTGAGAAACCTGCATACAAGAGAGAAAACACAGGTGAAATAGCTGTTTATTGCAGAACTGCATGTTAACTAAAGTGCTAGTAAGCAAAATGAACAGTTTCAGTACTTATATCACAAACATTTAAATGATGAACATTGATTTCTGTCACAGCTGGTATTCAAAACTTACTACTGAATTTAACTGCATGACAGCAAAACATCCATAAGGGGCACTGAGCCTATAGCTTATACTGAATCAAACTGAAATTAAATTAATAAAACACTTTACAGGATCAGGCTATAGATATCTGAAGTGTCAGCAGCAATATTAGAATAGACCCCAACCCTGCCTCTATCATGGGACTGTACCTATTTACAACAGCTTTGAATGCATCTACACTGGGAAGTTGTGATATAAAATAGTCTGGATGCCTCTGCTTTTAAAGAAAGAGACCACACTTTTAGAATAATAAAACCTGGATGTTCTCCATTCATTCATGAAGAAAAATATCATTTAATGCATTTTCAATCTCTTTCTATCCCTTAGAATCCTCATGTAGAGTTTTCACTAAAGCCTACCTAGCTCTGGCACAGGGATCAGCAGATTAAATTGCTGCCTGGCTACACATGATCTGTAAGTCAGGCCTAACAAAAATCAGCCATCTGTAAATCACACTGTGCATAAGGGCTGCAACACATACATTTTTGTTTCTGAGTAGTGCATACTTGGTCAGTATCTCATAGACATCAAAATACCTGGTTAAAATTTGCTAAGTAAAGAAAACACAGTCTTAGAAAAAGTATTAAAAAATAAAATAATACTAAAACCATTAGTAAATGGTACATGTATTGAACGGACAACTGAAACAGGCATACTCAAGAAAAACCAAATAGCTATGGACTTGTATAGCAATCTGCACAGGAAAACATACACACATGAAGTACAGTTCAGCTTTGAAATATCAAGAACTGTATCTGATCTGTGCTGGTGATGAAGATCCCACCATCCACATGCTCACTGTCATGGTGAAAGACCTGCAGAAGGAAACTGTAAAGATATCTGGTGATTTTGTCTTTTGCTTTGATTTCAAGTTGGCTGAACAATACAAATCTTACCATCATGGATTTCGGTGCCACTTCTACAGCAAAAACAGTAAGTCCCCTATTACTTAGGCAGTTCTTGCTCTGCTCATTGTTGACATGAATAATCACTTTGTTTTCAGACTGCAAATGAGAAAATATGAGGAAACCCATTAGTCTCAATGGTCAAGTGGTTGTTCTTTTTTTAACAACTACGCATTCCTCTGACTTGCTCCAACTTCGCTATTTCACAGGACAGAAATACTTTAAGAACACCGATGACTACTCTCTTCAAACAGCAACGATTTCAAAATGTACTTTGGCATCATAGAGCCCAGATTCATTGTCAGTAGTCATTTAAGACTCATTGATACAATTTAAGCACTTGTGAATATACAACTTGAGAACACTATTGAGTAAGAAAACTCTTTGCCACAGAACATTACTGACACTAACGGTTTACACAGTTTCAAAAGGTGCCTGGACAAAGCTATTCTAGAAAAAATACATGAAGGGATTTTAAGTACAAAGACTTTAAATACAGATTTTAAGATTTTAAAGGACAGGGATTTTAAATTTCTGGCTCAAGTAAGTCTGTGAACTGCAAATCACTAGAGGCTAGGACAGCATCTGGAGAAGCATCACTGGATGCTTGCCCAATGTTTGTACTTGCAACATCGCCTACAGGCCACTTATGGAGGCAGGATACAGATGTAGAAGAAGCTTTATCTATATGGACCTAGAAGAATCTTTACCTGTACTTGTACAGCCATTTTCATTTTCCAAAATCCTATCCCTATCCTACCTCCAGCAAAAGGCCACTTCCTCAGGAGCTCATACCACACGCTCTTAAACTCTCACCAACTATGCTGGGCTTCAATGGAGACTAAGCTCCTGACAACTGAAGTAAAATCCCCAGTGTAAGCAGTAGGAGCAGCCGTCATACTTAGTTTCCTTTCATATGTTTCCTTAGCAAAGTTAATATTTGGTTTCCTTTCATAAGAAACAACCAGGATTCTTCACTAGTTCCTCACTGCCACAAATCAAAGCTACACCTCACAAAGGTGTTCATAAAAGACACTCATCAAGAAGTGACCCATCCCAATACAACTATAATCATTTAAAGAAGAGACATTCTTGCTGTGCAAGTGCTTCCAAGAAGGACCCAAGATACGAAACTGAAAGGTTGGGTAATAGCAAATTCATTAGCCACCAGTTTATCCCAGGCAATACAAGACCCAAGGACAAGCTATACTCCCTGGGAAACGTTTGATTCTTAGGCAATGCTACCCAACATTCTCTCTGTACTGAGAAGTGGAAGAGAAACACACTTACACCACACAATAAACCTTACACAGCAAAGGAGCTACTCTGAAACTGGTAAGGAATAACAAAAGAGAGATCTCTGGTTCTCACGGTACAAAGGGTTTCTCGCCTGCAGAGTGTGATGTGGTCACTTTTGAAATATGGTATCATTGCAGATATGTAAACACAATCTAAGGTGCTTTCTGGCTTTGATCCATCTGCTCTGGCATCACTTCAGTGAAGTCTTCATTTCCACGTGGCAAACAAAATAATCAGCCATGCCCTAAGTATCCTCCTGTAACAGGAACAAGGTCACAAAGATTCACCTAGCAGAGAGGGCCGACTGCAGTAAGTTTGTGCTTTGGATGACAGGACTATTTCTTTTGGCACACCAATGGGCAGATAATAGATTGGGAACTGCTTACTCCCTGAGAAATGTGAAGATCTGTGTGCAAGGTCTTTCACTCTCCCCAGCTCACACCCTGGCTACAGAGGGTTAGAAGACACACACCTTCCTCTGCCTACTGATTAAATACATATGTAAGACTGAACCAGAATCCCTGAGGAACTGGAATCTTTTCTTAATTTAATTACAGAAACAACAAAGAAACAATTATTTCCATTGAAATCCTTAGTACAATAACTGAAGATACAATCAGGCTGCCTGCACTGTGGGAAGCTTAGAAGACAGATGCGTAAAATTTCCTTTCTGTTATTTCTTTCACAGAATAGAATCACGGAATCATTTAGGTTGGAAAAGACCTTTAAGATAATCAAGCCCAACTATCAATCCAGCACTGCCAAGGCCACTACTAAACAATGTCCCCAGGTGCCACATCTACATGTCTTATAAATACCTCCAGGGATGGTGACTCCACCACTGCCCTGGGCAGCCTGTTCAGTGCTTGCCAACCCTTTTGGGGAAGAAATATTTCCTCATCGCCATCTAAACTGCCCTGGTGCAGCTTGAGGCCGTTTCCTCTTGTCCCATCCCTAGTTCCTTGGGAGCAGAGACCAGCCCCCTCCTGGCTCCGTCCTCCTGTCAGGCAGTTGCAGGGAGCGATAAGGTCCCTCCTGAGCCTCCTCTTCTCCACACTAAACTCCCGAGGTGTCTCAGCCCTTCCCCATCACACTTGTGCTCCAGGCCCTGCTCCAGCTCCATCCCCTTCTCTGTCCCGCTCCAGCCCCTCAATGTCTCTCTTGCAGTGAGGGGCCCAGGACTGACACAGGATTCGAGGTGCAGCCTCACCAGTGCAAAGTAAAAGGGGGACAGTCCCTGCCCTGGCCCTGCTGCCACACTGGGGCTGGGACAGGCCAGGATGCCGTTGGCCTTGTTGGCTGCCTGGGCACAAGGTGACTCATACTGAGCCAGCTGTTGACCAGCACCCCCAGGTCCTTTTCCATGAGCAGCTTTCCAGTGACTTTTCCCTAAGCCTGGAGCACTGCATGAGGTTATGGTGATCCAAGTGCAGAACCCAGCACTGAGCCTTGTTGAACCTCAGACAACTGGCCTTGGCCCATTGATCCAGCCTGTCCAGATCCCTCTGTAGAGCCTTTCAACCCTCCAGCTCCACATGGTGTCATCTACAAATGAAATTCAAATGGTATACATGGCAGTGATCAGTGATTTTTATTAGACAGCATCCAGTTGCCTCAGTACAGGCCTCATCTCCTTCTCTGACATGTACTGGAGTTATTTATATGTTTGAGGTTATCCACCCTAAAGGGCGAAGTGCAGATCTAAACCTGTAGTTCCAAGGAGCCTCAGCATTCAGTCCTAATATTAGTCCACCAACTCACCCCCTTTTGCATGTCTGTCCATTTAAAAATATACTTCTTGCTGTGATCTTTTAGGATCTAAAGCATCTTAAGTTTAACATCTTACTGCACAGTATTTATTTACTCACAGTTCCTGATATAAATGAAACTGAGAATGAACAGCACATTCATTATGATCCACGCAGAAAGGTTTCAAATCTCTGCTTCTCACCTAGTACTTCTGCTTGGATTTACAGTTCTTAGCTTGGGTTAGTAATAAAGTAGAGCTGTAAGACTGATGAGTTAACAAGTCACCTACAGCATGCTTCTAAACCACAATCAATGCAAATCATTGCTCTTCTCCTCTCTCATGCACACTGAAAATACCAAGTAGTGTAAATGCTGTAGTCTTTGCTCTTTCTGTGACTGTGTTTCCTCTTCTTAGTATTTGTTTTCTGCCATTGTGAACACATCATGTCTTCAATAACTATCAACATATTGAACAATTGGAATAAGAACACAAATATTCATATTCTATATGATATTTAAAAGTGCTTGCCTTGTTGTAATAAGCTGTCCCTTCCAAGAACACCGATCCAGACTCTCTTGAAGCCTGAGTCATATGTCAAAGCCAGCTTTGCATCAGGCACTTGGGTTTTTTTAATGAACTATTGTCTGATATTTCTGATATCAAGTTTCTGTAATTCTCAAAACTGATGCAAGGAGGGAAAAGGAGAATAACAACAGACATTAACCCAAAGCACCTTACAGAAGTCTTATGCCATACCTTATTCTCAATGACAGACGTGATTCTCCCACCCGCACTGTAGGTATAGATGATGATGTTTTCACAGCCATTCAGTACTCTGGCCTCTCCTTTGCTAACAACAGACTTGCAAACAGCCCTGTGGAGTTGTGAGCTCCCTGCCTCTAGACACATGGCTTTAATTCTGGGTTTGCACTTCTCTGCATAGATGTCAATGACAAAGGGGCATGCCTGCAATGAAGAAAAGGAGGTTTATCATCACTTCATCTGCACTCTTCCCTCCCTCAGATTTTCATCTGCACCTCTTAAGTATTTTCACATATGCTTTGAAGTAGAATTAACCAATTACAAATATGTCACTGAATATTAAATATTCAAAACCTGAGAGCTGTGACCAGCTTCTAAACCAAATGAAAGCTCAGGACAAATGAACATTTTTCATACACTCAATACACAGTTTGGTGCATTTGGCTCTAACATAGCAAACCCTTCCTTGGATAGCAAAATGTACAGGAATTAAGATGAACTGTGAATAGAAACCTGTCTCCTTTACCTGTTACGCTCTTGCTACTTGTGCCACTTCATTCAGATGTAAAATACCTACAGTACTGCATTATTGCATTAAGCACTCTGCTGTTACACTTTCTTGGCTGAGATTAGTACATGTAACAACCAGGAGTTTGCATGTTCTCAGGAGCAGCACTTCAGGTTTTTTCCAAATGGCTGTTGGAATCCACGAGGATTTCTCAGGTTCTGTCCTTAATTTGCTAGAGGCTCAGTACTCCTGAAGTATCAATTTCTTAAGGCATGTGAAATCAAGTAATTCAAGGGTTAAGTTACAGACAGAAGTTAAGTAGAGGCACATTTTTAGATGAGTGACTAAAGCATTTAGACAGCTACGCTGTCCGTTGTGGCAAAGGCTGTAGCCAGGAACGACAGCTAGAGTGAGGCACAAAATACCTTTCTGAAATGCCCAACTTGATAAAAACCTCCCCAAAATCTTCTTTCTTAGAGGAGAGCTCCCTCTTACGTCTGAAATGCAGAAAGACACGTCGGTAGTTGCTCTGCCAGCTACACTCACGGGAACGGGGGAAAGTGCTCAGCATTAAGAGATCAGCCACCATGATCTCAGGATTTTCAAGGAGACAACTGATGTCTCCACTACACTGAGTATTTCTGGGTCTGTGTGTATTTGTTTCACACACATCTACTTGATACGGTGGCTACACAGACCTAGTTTAGTTTAACAAAAGTTAAAGAAATAATATAATCAGACTTTGATTTTTAAAAATCAGCTTTTCTTGGGAATGTAACTTAAATGATTAAATTATCTGCATATTTACCGTTTTCTTTACTTTTCCGTATTTTGTTTCTCTTCATTAAAGAGATCCTCTTTCTTAAGTGAGAACTACTAACACCAGCACAATTCTGTTGTGGCTTGGGCCAGGAAAGTGACTTTTTAAAGCAGAGCAAGCCCTGCACTTTAAATGTTTGTCGCAGTTCACCATCACTATCTTCTTATCACTTCCCATCTGCAAAGTGCCTGCTTTCAACGGGTACAACCCAGGATTCCTTCCTGGAATCCCACAAAATACCAGCTTTCGCTAAGGCAATGGCAAAATTCTTCTTTTAAGAATGTCTTAAGGAAGAGGATACCATAATGACTGAAAGTCACAGTGTAAACCCTGTATTAACAGTGTTTGGACTGGATCACTGACCTACTGAAATCAATTTACAACAGGCAGAAACACTAGTGCAGTTAAGCATGTGCACCAGGTTGTAAGTGAAGCAGTTATTTCTGCTATATGGCTGTCGTACCTCTGTCATTTCTAATGCTTTATTGTAGCCCAGAGACAATAAAGTGACCCAGAGGTCACTAGGATCCCCTTCACGGTCGTTGGCTTCCATGAGATTCAAATCCATAAATCCTTGTCTTGTTAGTTCATTCTTCCTCATATCAAAATTCTCTGTTTAAAAAGAAACATAAGGTAGCACTTAAATATCTGTTCTCTCTACAAGCACCTTTTATCCTTCCAAAACCAAACTTGCGCTTACATTAACAAAGTTTAAAAGATGGAGCCATCCTGCAGCCTCAGACTCTCCAATATTAATTGGGAAAGAATATCCTTGACCAGATGGTTGCTCTTTCCAGAGCTTCCCTGTGGATTTTAGCAATGACTAGAAACAACTGTCCTCCTGTATAACCCAAAAGAGGGTGAGATTTCAAAACACAAAGAGTTGATACTGGGTTCTGGTTTTCTTTTTCCTAGCAATATTTGTTATGGTTGAGATTTGGAGAACAGGATATATTAGGAATGGGAAATGAAAATCTGCTTGAGGCAGCACCCTTAGTGCTTGAGGTCCTTGATACAGAAATGATTTACTTAGTTCCCAAAAAGCAATAAAATGCCAGTAATCCTAACACCCCTCTCGAGAGAGGATATCATAGATCGAGTACTCTAATGTCAGCAAACATGTAATTGAAATGTCCTTGTGTCAGAGACTTTTAAAAATGGTTTTCTCATCTTCATAACAATGCTAAATCTTTACTATATATTATTAAAAAGGGATTACCAATTTCATAAATCTATCTCAGGGTACAGATGCTATAATAAACGGCTTGAACTTTGGTGCCAAGATTTATGATAGTCATCTGAACCCTTCCACTGATTAATGACCTGGTAAAAGATTCACCATATTCTCTTTCTCCTCTCCTATACATTTCACATACTTCCCTCCTACTCATGCTGAGACCAGTGCACAGAGACATAACACTGGCAAAGTCATCATGCGTGGAAAAGCATGTACAGGGATGAAACAGAGGAGAAAATCATTTGTAGCAAAGTATGTTTGTATGAGTTTTCCATCATTGAGGAAAAGTCCAATATCTTTGGGGAGAAATAATTAGCAGGGCTCGCCAGATCTGAAGTATTTAGCAACACATTATAGCCTACAAAGGAATTACATGAAATGATTTGAGCTAATACACAGTGCTATGCCACACTGACTTAACAGACATGAGGGGCAGAAAAACTGCACTTCTTATAGAAACTTCTAATTTTCACACAATGGCTTCTAAATTTCCAGCTGGTCTCACCCTGCAGCTAAACTGCCCATGCTTTGAACCCACTGCTTTCATTCACTGCATCATTAGAGCAGCCTACAATCACTGGTGCTTCTGTTACAAGGTAAATATGTACATTCTCAAGGCCTTTGCAAGCTTAAAGCAATGCCACAGAACTCTCTTTTTCCTCCAAAACTGACATCTGTAGCCCCACACTGCTCCTGCAAGCTGGCAATCCAGTAACACTGATGACATGTATTAGCAGACAGAAAACAAAGCTGAGTTTTAGCTGCCTGTCAGCTTCCTCACCTCACTCGTGGAAGTCTCAGTACCTCACAGCTGTCATACAGCACAGTATGGACAAACTGACACACCATGTCTGAACCTTCAAAAGACAGATTTTGAATGAGAAACTGCTTATATCTGAAGAAAATATCTAGTTGCAATAGGTATTTGCTATTGTCTAATTTTCTGAACAGTCGTCATAAGCTCTAGATGCTGTTTTTAAAGCATCATATACATACCAATTACATGTCCCTCTCAATGCTTTCTGAGATGTGAAAGCAGCACCAGATTAATCTGCAGACTGTGTGGTGCATAAATTCCACTGCTGGGGCACATGCAGCTAATGCATTGGAAGGGTCACAAGGCTCTTTGCTAAGAGAAATTCTCTAGCACTTGTGGCTTTATCGTCCAGCTCTTTCCAACTGCAATCAAAGCAGCAGTCCCAGTCACTCTAGGTTTTGATTTCCTATAGCTAGGTCCAGTGTTTTCACACCCTGCAGACAACAAAGCAACCAGAGAGGTTGTAGAATAATGTAAACGAACAAAACATCCTGTTTGCTGCAGGCTAAGAAACTGTTTTATCATCTCTGCATGCTTCTCCAGAGCCTGGACACAGGGACTATGCGTATGGTTGTGTTACTTATCTCCCTGGTCAGCTGGAAATTAGATAATCAGAGGTTGGCATGAAAAGTCTACAAGAACAATGTTACATACACAGCCTTTGAGGAGAAGTAGTGGTAGGTGAACATGATCTTAGAAACATACCTGTCTTAGAGGCACAAACATGTCATGTGGGTACAAATACAAGGTGGTGTTATTGTGAAAACAAATTAACAACCTGTTCTGAGGCATAAATTACACAGAGAAGCTGTGGCTGCCCCATCCCTGGCAGTGTTCAAGGCCAGGTTGGACACAGGGGCTTGGAGCAACCTGCTCTAGTGGAAGGTGCCCCTGCCGGCAGGGGGTTGGAACTGGATGAGCTTTAAGCTCCCTTCCAAGCCAAACCAGTCTGGGATTCTATGCTAAGAAACCCTGCAGTTTTTCACAGCTACACAATCTTTCACCTACAAAACTTTGCAATTAGCAACAGGAAGAATTTTCTCAGCAGAAGGTCAGTGGCACAGAAACCAGAATGAAGCAGAACAAAGGACAGGAGACTGGAAAAGAAAATAAAAAGAAAATAAAAGAGAGAAGAGAACAGTATCTACATGTGTTCTTGGTATAGGCTACAAAATACTCAGTTCTTCCACAGTATATACATAGTAGCATATTATTAACAACAGCTTGTAAATAGATTATAGCACTTATTAGTTGTATCAAGCACAGCAACAAACTTACCCTTACATACAGCCCATGCTTCCTCATCACATTTCTCACCACTAGTTCTCAGCTCAAAGAAATTGTATTCCTCCAAACTCAGAAGGCCATTTCCATCCAAATCGATTGTTTCAAATATATCCAGTAAAGCAGCTCTAAAAGATGAAAAAGGCAAAATTAGTTCCAAATACTTCTGTTTCCTTTACTGTCTCTTAATATTGTTGATATCTAGTCAGTTTATTTGAGAATATTCTGTACAAACAATACTTGGTGGCTGCCCCATCCCTGGCAGTGCTCAAGGCCAGGTTGGACACAGGGGCTTGGAGCAACCTGCTCTAGTGGAAGGTGTCCCTGCCCGGGGCAGGGGTTGGAGCTGGAGGAGCTTTAAGGTCCCTTCCAAACCAATGTAGGATTCTATTTCAGCAACATACAGCTTTTATAAAGGCAGATGTTATTTGGAGCACACACTTTTACAATGGATACCATGCCTATTTGGGAATAGGACTCACCGAAACTCTGGGGTCAGAGCCAGTTCTCCATCTTCATCTCTATACACCAGTTCTGCTTCTTCAGTAATTTGTGTTTTTACCTTCTTCAGCCTACAGCCAGTTGTGAATGGGAGCAGCCAGTAAACACCTGATCCAAGCTCCCCTTTCCAGCCAGACATCTACTTTTAAAGGAAGACAGGCAAGTTTGTAAGTTACTTCTCACATGATACCTTTCTTTATTACTAGTAATATTCATACTAAAGTGATTAATGACTTGAAAGCACTGGCAATGCTAGGTTCTTCTCTTAAAGAAATACATCTGCAGTGAGATGCTGTGTGATGCCATTTTAAAGACACAAACACTAGTGAATCTCTTAATTACAATAAAAGCTACAAAAACATAAGTGACCAAAGATGAGGGGAGAACAGTGTTATCATTTTCAAGATTTGTAACACTCTTAACTGTTAAAGTTTAAAACAAAAGCAGCCAGAAGCAGGCTGACAAAACCCACTGAGATTTTTATTTCCTCCCTGATAATTCAGCTTTGTTCAAAGTGGCAACAAAACTTCCTGTGTAGTAAGTCACAAGTCACAAGTGTTTAAGAAGCAAGCTGAGTTCTCTGTGTCTCAGAAGGGGGAAGTTTATGCTGCCATTTCTCTTCCCTTATTTCTGTCATAGGATAAGAATATTCTGTGCACTGTCAAGTTCAAAATCATATATATGGCAAGGAGAAAGAAAATTAAAGGGAATTTTAACAAATTATACCTTTGAAATGTTGGGTTTGAAGGTATGGGAATACAAGTGAGTTTCCACAGAGTGTCTATACAGATATGTATAGATACATCTATATATCTATATGTGGAAGTATAGACTTTCCACAGAGTATCTATACAGATAACCAGCAACTGAGCAACACTTGCCAACACACCACATGGTAATATGGACCTCAGAAGAATTTCTCTAAACTTCTGTACATGTGGCTTGCAATCCAGCCCATCCAAAGGGCATAACTAAGATAGTGTTACACCTTACCTTGCACAAGTGCTGTCAGTTTTAAAAAGGAATATGCACACAAGTGTTTCTTCTCTCCTCTAGTCTGATTAGGTTCAGTTTGAATTCCTTCAAAACATGTGGGAACTCACCCATGCAGCATTAACACATACACTAGAGAGATAACAAGTAACATAGGAATATAACAAAACTATCTAACCTCTTCGTTTAGTTGTTCAGTAAAGCTCACAAGCTGTAGATTTTCTTGGGTTTCATTTTCCCTCAGAATATACAAAGCTGTATCCACTGACAACCAGTGACAAGATATTCCTAAAAAGAAAAACATTCCCAACACAAATGCTTAATAACGGCACAAAATTGTTTTTCTTTGAACCCCAATGTAGATATTTTTGTGGTATTTATAATATTGATCCCTGTCAATGTAAGATGGAAAAGAAGAAGCCATTACATGCTATCTGTATTTCCTTCCAGTTTAGGCTGCTCAGATAAACTGTTCCAAATGTTCTGATTGTCTTACAGATAATGGTTACTATTAATAGTTCTAATATTAAAACCTTTGATCATGTCTGATTTGTTTGGCTTGGGTTGGATTGGAGCAGAGGCCTGATTATACATATGTTGAACAGACACCATTTGAATCTCTCTGGTTTCTTGTAGCTGCTCAGCTCCTGATGGCAATCAATCAATGAGCTATTGAGTGGTCTACAAGTTAATCAGACCACAGCAAAACAGTGAATGCAGGAGTCAAGAACACCACACAACTGTGTTAAAACGTTGAAGATGCTTTTGCTTACTCATAAAAAGGTAATTGCTCTGCTACCATGAATCTTTTCCTTACATCCCAGTATAAAGCCTACCTCTTCACAACAAAACACAGAGATTCTATGAACAGGACAATAATGCTGTGTCAAAAGTAGAATTTTTTTACAGAAGACAAGTACTATTTTGGTTACACAGAATATCTGGACAATCCTGCAGCAGAACTGAAAGCAGCACATGAAAAAAGAGATTTAGGAGCAGAAAACTGAGACATCCCATTACTCAAAGCTGTTAGTATCTGACCACTTTTCCTCACCATTAGAAATCTGCTGATCAGCTTCTCACTTCAGCCAAGTAGTAACTGGAAAACTACTACTTTCCTTCAACTATTTGGAGTGCCAGTGCCTGACCACCCTCACAGGGAAGAACTTCTTCCTAAAATCTCATCTCAATTTGCCCTCTTTCAGCTTAAAGCCATTCCCCCTTGTCCTGTCAAAATGGACTCAGCTGATTTTCACTGCCCAGGAACTGAGCATGAAATGACAAAGCAGAAAAGATGGTGTGACAAGTTAAGTTGTATTTTCAACAGGACTCTTGTCAATAGAGTGGCAGTATCAGAAGATATCACAAAGCATTGAAAAGGAGAGATGTATCAGCAGGAGGAAAGAAAATACCTTTTAGAGAGGAAAATTCTCCAAAGAGCTACAAACAGACACTTACCTTCTTCCTGATGCATGTTTAAAGGCTTGATGGTGATACACACTGTTGACCTTTGAGGTACATGCAACCTGTACTTGTGACTAACGATTTCACCATCTTCTTCCAAGTAGAAGCATCCTTTGGATTGTGCACAATGCCACTCCTGGAAACCAAGCAAACGTCAGATGTTGCCTTCATCTTTGATCAAATAAAAGTGCTCTCTCTGAAATATTACTTAATTTGATGATTTAATAAATCCTATAGAAAATACACCCCCAAATACAGCACTGACCTACTTAAAACAAAATACATATTTTCTCAAATAGTCCTTTTTGTAGTCCATTTTGCAAAGCAGTAACATTGCTTCATTTGTGAAAACACTTGACAAACATAGAGATTATCCCAATGCTCAAATAGTTGAAATGAAATCTGAATTGCCACAAAGAATCAAACTGAATTCATTAAATTCTCTGAACTGTGTGATTTACCACTGAAAGGCTTGAATTTTGCTACATTACCCATCAGGTCAATCAAACAAAGAACATAACTGATGAGCTGAACAACAAGGAGTTTGCTCAGACAAATCACAAACACAAGTACCGGTCAAATAAAGTGATTCTTCTCGATTGCTGTCAAAGCTATTGGGAAGACATAAACTGAAAAGTGCTGTTTGTGAATAACATGGTTTCTAGAGAAGCCATAAGTGAGCTGAGATGCTAAAACGGTTACATGCTTCAGGTTTTGGGGTTTTTTTTAACAGCAGGTCCCAATTTTCAATTTCAAATACCATTTGAATGATATTTCTTTAGCAAAATACAAATAAAGTCTGTATAGACATATTGCATGCCTTGAGGAATGGAAGACATTCTTGGTTTGTCTTTTCTGCTCTAGATTAAGTCCATGATTTCTATTCACTTCCCTAGCAATGGAAGATAATGTTTCTGAGTGGAGCCTAGAAGAAGGAATCTTTCAGTGTAACTTCAGCAAAGAGCTCTGTGCAGGTGGCTGTACCTATGCTCAGTGTTCAGTGTCACAGGTAAGCTAACACAGATTCGAGAAGAGAGCTAGTAAAAAGTGCAGAAGGTTTGCATGTAGCTCCCAGTTACAAGGCTGACAACTAACTCCATCTAAAGTCAGTCCTACCAGAGTGCTGCATTTCATTACTCCTCTAAAAGAACCACTTCTTACAACACATTCACGCTCAGTTGAGAGTATTTTACAGTCAGTGACCTAAACGTGTCAGGCAAGAACTGGACTTCACTAGTGTATGTACACCCAGGAAGCCAAGTAGCACACTTGGAACATATACAGCTCTGACCCTGAGTTTGGATTTCTCCACTCAGAACTCTACATTTACTAAGAATATTCATTACTCAGAGACTCATGGATTTAAAAGCCTTCAGTCCTGTGCCACAGTTTTGCCACTGATTTCTATGCAACAGGATGAACTCCCCTACACTAAACATTTCTTATTCAAACATCAAATTTATCTTAGTTATAATCCTTTCTGCTTGAAGAACTTTTATAAATTAATCAGAACAAAAAGAGGAATGTACTTTGAGTAAACTCACCCCCTGTGTTGGCATAGACAGACTGCAGAATCTAATACTATCTCTCACTTCATTTTCTGCCTGTGAATCACTCCTAAGTTTCATTCAAATAGCACAAACTCAGCTACGAAAAGAATCTTCACACTAAAGGAATAAAAATATATCATCCTGAAAACAGGAATGTGGATAAACACTGAGAATTCCAAATTTTACACAGCTGGAAACTATCTTATTCTCAAATTACTTATTATTACAGTAAGACTACCCAGTCCCATCCAAGATGTTAATCTACAGGCAACAATTATTTCACCCTCAGTACCACAACAGTTTTGGTAGCTTAATGCATCAGAACAAGTTTAGATGTCAAATCCTGCTAATTATATATAATTATATTTGCATACAGTTAACAATATGGAGTGAGTGCATTTAAGTACAAATACCATATACTTTGCAACTCACTTTCTGCTGTTCTTTGGAGGTTTGATATTCTTAAAGAAAATTAGGACTTTGCTTAAAAAGTTCTGAGACTTTAAAAGTAACCATACTTCCTAAGAGCATAGACTATCAAAAGGACAAAGATTAATTAAGCTATCTAGAATAAAGTGGGACATCTGATCCCTGATGGAAACATATCCAAATCCCTCCCTTCCCATAATCTCACATAAGATCTTCCAGTTAAGATAACATGTTAGATCTGGGGCCTTCATGGAAACCTATGTTCTCTGCCATCAGAGATGCAGAGGGAACAGCATGCTGTCAGAGGAACAGTGATCTCGCCTCATGAGCTACATCTCCACTGTGAAATAGAAGACAGCAAAAAGGAAGGCTCAGAGTCCTGTCCAACCTGGCCTTGAACACTGCCTTGAACATAACCTGTGCCAGCGCCTCAGCACCCTCACAGGGAAGAACTACCTAAGTGCTCATCTCAATCTCCCCTCTGGCAGGTTCAAGCCACTCCCCTTGTCCTGTCCCTACAGGCCCTTGTCCAAAGCCCCTCTCCAGGTCTCCTGGAGCCCCTTTAGGCACTGGAGCTGCTCGAAGGTCTCCCCTTAAGGAGCCTTCTCTTCTCCAGGCTGAACCAGCCCAGCTCTCTCAGCCTGGCTCCAGAGCAGAGCTGCTCCAGCCTCCTATTTAAAGAGGGTGCGAGGCTTGTAGAAGAACAGCCACCTATGCTACTTGGTGCACAGAGTCAAAGATCAGCCCCTGGCCACCTTTTATGTAGCATTATAGATCTAAATAACAAGGCCACCTAAAAATTTTCTACTGATCCTTATCCATGAAACCACATTTCTAGTGACAGGAAAAGCAAAAGTGGTCAAATCACAAATAATAATTAGGACAGAAATGAACAGAGACAAAAAGTTACTGTGACTTAATGGTGCAGGTTAAAAGCTGAGCAACATACAGGGTTCTCTCAGCCAAACAAGTGGATAATGGGAACTGATATTAACATTAATCAACATCAGTCAGTGCTAGAACTCAGATGTGTAGTTTAGCCTGTTAAGTCATTTTTAGTACTATTCCATTCTCAGTAAATGTTTATTCCAATACTTGGATGACTCCTAACTTTGTCTAAAGTCCATATGCAGTACATTGAGATTTTTCTTTAAAACCTGACACAGCTGAGGTAACTGGTTGTCAGCTCATTTAGTCTCTAAGCTTAATACCTTACAAAACTGTTAGAAACTAAACATTTCCAAAAGATCAAGTTCAAAAAGTCTGCTTGAGAAGCAGTACGGCTGCTTCTTGAGACATAAAAGTTCATAATAAAAGTTTCAACAGCAGTTGTATAACAATTTTTATGCTCAAAAATTACTAACAGCTGTGTTCTATTCCCCCTTTTCCACTATGGCAGTGGTCTTCAAACCATCATCTCAAGATGGTCCATGGAGAATAGCTTTGTCCTGTTTGCCCACCTTCCATTTTGCTAGCTGTTCTTTCAGATGGAAGACTACCCCTTTCACTGTTTGCATTCAGATAGACATTGCTGCAACAGGGACATCAAACAGTCCAAGCAAGCAGGGAAAATACCTCAAGGAACAATGTGCACGTTAAGATGTGAACAACAGTAAGGAAAAGTTTGGCAATGCCTTGGGAATCAAATACTAAACTGTTATTCTTGCAGAGACCATAAGGTGGTGCTATACTCTGAAAATTATCCATGTCAAATTACAAACAGGGATGTAAATTTGGGAAGCTAAAAGATGATTTTCTCTTTTGATTTTAGTCTATTACTTCAAAACATAACAGGAGTTGACAAACAATAGCTGTCATAGTGGGGAATGGTAGTATTATAAATGTTAATCATGAAGAAATTATATGCTGGAATACTGATAGAATGAAAGCACTTTGCTGCTGCTGCCAGTGCTGGTCACTGCCCAAATAATGAATTCTACTGTCATTACAATTAGTTGTTATTGGAATTGTCCACACGCTTATGCATAACTCCAAATAAAAAGCAATGTTTGTGTGAGGAATTGTTCCTATGATAAAAACAGAGAATTTCAACATTTGGTCTTATACAAACCTGTTCCATACACACAGAGAAAGTCTTCCTAGTTCAATTGCACAAGGGTGTTTCTTCACAGATAGGAGTCATTTAACTGCATCTTTCAGGAAAAAGACTTTTCTCAGGTACTTCTTCTGCTACCCTCTGTGTGTACAGGTCTTTCACTGACTCAAATAGAACAGAATCCAAAAGTGAGACTCCTTAGCAGGGATAATTCAGCTACCCAATGCAAAGAGGAGATTTCAGAACACAATACACTGCTTGGGGTTGTTTTCCATGTCTTTCAATCTTAACTAAAACCAACACAAAGAACACTTGGCAGAAATTTAAGATCTTCACTAGCCATCCTTTAATGAATTGTGATTCAGCTCAGTTGTGGCTTATGCACATCCGCAGCACTTTTGAAACTAATTTTTTCTCCCCAAATTTACATATATGGTTTTGAACATTACGAAACTCCACTAACTAAAAGAAAACACACAGAGAATGTACTATGGATACATTCCTGTTTTCAAAGAGATTCTGAATTTAGACTTCCACAATGCTTTGACTTCTACTATTTTGCTCTGCCAGGAGAAGGTTCCACTTTTCTGTCAGTAGGGACAGGACAAGGGGAATGGTTTTAACCTGCCAGAGGGGAGACTGAGATGAGCTCTTGGGCAGAAGCTCTTCCCTGTGAGGATGCTGAGGCGCTGGCACAGGGTGCCCAGAGAAGCTGTGGCTGCCCCATCCCTGGCAGTGTTCAAGGCCAGGTTGGACACAGGGGCTTGGAGCAACCTGCTCTAGTGGAAGGTGTCCCTGCCCATGGCAGGGGTTGGAGCTGGAGGAGCTTTAAGGTCCCTTCAACACAAACCAGGCTGGGATTGTATGAAATCTAAGTTGGCATTGGTCCAACTTCACAATGGCAATATTTTGTCACTCTCCCAAAAAAGGGTTAAATGCAGAAAAAAGGAAGAGAAATATTTCTGAATATAAGATAAGAAGAATTTTGGGGTGCTAGGTTCTGATCCACACACAAATGAAACACTGTATTCATCAATTCTGACACTGAGTTTGCATTATGCCCTTAATAGTTAGGCTTAAATACATTACTAGTTCTACTTGTATCTTTATATTGATTGATTTCAGGTTTGTATGATGCTGATCAATAATAATCAATATCTGCAGCTGCTTTTTTTCAGTCAGGTTTCACTAGCTTGTCCAAAGAAAGAGGAACCTAATATTGAGAAAGTGTGCGATGGTTTTATATACTACATATCATGTTTGAACAAGGTGAAATTGCAGGTTAAATTGCATGGAGGTCCAGATACCTAAACAGACTGCAAAGAATTCCTTTGAGATTCTGGTTTGAAATTTTAATATAGAGCAAATGTCACTGTATAGCAATGTGGAAGATATAAAGGACTTCAGAGTTCAATAACAAATACAGAGTTGTTATTTGAAACAAAAATGTAACTCATGAGAACAATCAGTTCAGTTTTCTAGCAGCAGTTATACTATGTGGTCATAACCATTTTTCCCCCTTTATACAGGAGTCTCAAGGTGCACATTTTTAATGTATCCTAGCAGTTTCCAGTTAATGTTTTATATTTTTACAGCTATTATTTTCTGGTGAAAGAAAACTAGTAAAGGTTCAGTCAAGAAAGGGAAAACAAAGGAAAAAGATCAATATTAACACTCTACAAATATTGACTTAGCAAAGTGACTTTGTTGTCTTTCTCCCACAGGGATTTATATTGAATGAGTGATTTATTTAAAAGAAAATCCTGATAGAGCATATTAGTCTAACTAAAAATCAATATTTTCTGGCTACAGCATATATTTACAAAGTAATGCCCAACAAACTGAATATGCTCTCAGCTCTGTTATTTATTTCCAATTACCTTTCACCTAAAGGTTTATGATACACAATCTTTCAGACTATTTAAGCATTTAAAGTTCTCACCAACCTAATAAATTATTAACTTTTAAATTTCTCAAAAAGTCATTAAATGTTTTATCCAACAGTGGTTTCATTTATAAAACACACACTTTGTTCTATTAAACCTTCTCACCTGAAAAATTATTGTCAATAACTAAGTGTCAGCAAAACCAACAGTATATAAAAATGTTAATAACAACATGGATCAGGAAACTGCTCAGTAGTTTATAGCTGCCCTTGACAAACTATTAATAAAACATAAGCTAAAAATTGGAGAAAAATGGTTTCTTATTTAAAATGCAATAACATATGTGCCTACAGGAAAACAGCATAATTCCAGTAGGGCTGGCTGACATGATACCTTCATGGTGTCTGGCTCAATTAGCTTTGTGTTCCTGTTGCTCCTGGCAGCCACGTTGATAGTGGTAGAGATGGATGCTTTGCAACTTTGAGCTGATGAGGGTCTTGAAGGAGTTCTGCTATCACCTGTAAACATAGGTATTTAGTTACAATTACATTACTTCATCCCACTTCTAGTGCTGTTTATCATAAAGCTTTACATTTATAGGCACACAGGGAAAAACTGGATGACAAGAAATTCAGAGAAGCTGCCTTCTCTTATAAATACATAACAATTCATTAGCCAAACATCTTTACTTTTCTGACTGTACATCCAAGAAATGGCAAAACCATTTAACCAACTTAAATGGCACACTCTACATGCAATATTTCACACATGGTACCTTTGCAGTCTGTTAGCCTGTGGCCTTTTTCCAGTTTGGAAAGGTTTTAGATATCTTTGTAACTTCAGGAAGAACATTAAACTCTCATATTGATTGTGCTGGGAAAGGGGCCTTGATAATTGAAACAGACTGCTTATTGATAAATGTTTAAGGTTTCAACTCTGATCTGGGAAGGAAATAAATAACCTGCCTGTATTAAGAACACCTGAGCATTCATTTTCTCTCTTCCCTCTGGACTGTGTCACATGAGAGTCACAAAATTCACCCTTAATTTGAGAGCTTGAGATCATAGATACAGCCAAAGTCCATGTGAACATGGAGGTCAGATACTCTACTGAGACATTTATGTGATTGCCACAGCAGAAATGAAGATTAGTCAGGAATATCCTCACTAATCTGAGAACATTAAACAAATACTAAAACATTCATTGACCCAGAGCATGATCTCCAACAGAAAGACAACTCCCAACATGAAATGCAAATACCTTTTGTGTTTGCCAGTCTGTGATCAGTTTTCCTCGAGACTCTTGGTGATGGTTTTGACACGGGCAGTGTGATCTCTTCAGAGGAAGGTTCAGTTTGATTTCCAAACTGCTGTTGCCTCAATCGACTATCAAGTTCCAGTCTCTCTCGTGCAGTCTTGCAGCACTGCTCTCTGGTTGTCATGTATATGTCACAAAACTTTGGATAAAGAAAAGTAATCTAGTAAGTGGAATATTCTTTCTCTTTAAGGATTAAAATGTAAGGAAAGGACAGGTCAATAGATGCAATGCTTTTTTCTTAAAGCACAACAGTAATCTCTGTTTTCAGAAATCAGTGACCAATCAAGTGATACAGTAAAATGGAGCCATGATTCAACAAGGAGGTCCAAATCTTGAATAGAAACTAAGTGCAACTTTCAACCCAAGGGTGACTTATATTTCTTTCTAGATTCTTATTTTCTTAATAGGGGGTTGTTTTTCTCCTATGAAACTATTCACGTGCAAATCTTTGTGAACTGTTTATTCAGTTTAAAACTTAATCATTGCTTAGAGATGATATAAAAAAAAACCCCAGTGAGATGCTGCATCTTGAAGATGTTCACCACACACAAGAACTTATGAAATGCCACAGACATAGCAACTCTCACAGATGAGCTAAGTTCACTGTCAGTTGTCATCTTTACTCTGCCATTACTTAAACTCTTGACTTCACATGTGCTGTTAAGCTTCATGCTGAATATTAGGCTCTGCCTAACACATTAAGTTCACTTGAAGCAAGTGACCTTTTCGAGGACTATAGCCAGATAAAGTGAGTGAAACAGAACTATATACCAGCCTGTGTTCCAGTATATAGGTGATTGAGGGGGGTGTAGGGCAAGATCATCAACAGAGCAACACAGGAAGGTAGTATGTATTGTGTTTGGTAATGCTAATACTGTCAGGAACATCAAGCCCATAAAACAAGAACAAATATCACTGTTTGCTATACCTTGTTGTAGTCAAGTTTACCACCACAGTTAAAATCAGCTTGTTCAGTAATGGCATTCACTTCATCCTCAGTCATTTTTTCACCTCCCTGCAATAAAAAAAACACCACCTCAGTTTGGGTTCCTAATCAAGATTGCTGCTCACCTATGGAGGACATCTAATGAAAACAAAGATTCTTCTAATATCCTTTCAGAGAGTCTTATCTTGCATTACAATTAAATGCACTTTGAGGTGAATCATCAAAGTAGAGGTCAACACTGTAAAAAATTATGTCCCTACAATTCTAAACAGACAAATTGCATCAGTTTATGCAATTCAGTGGTGTCTTCTGGAAACCTACCATGAATGACACATCAATCTCAGAAAATCTTCCATAAACTGAGGAATCCCAGCTCTTATTCTTACTTATATTGTACCAAACAAACAACCAAGAGCTAACTTGACAACTGTTAGTTTCACTTACTTGAGCTATCCTACTATACCAGGCTACATCTGCAACTCAGTTCACTAGAAGAGATACTTTGGGCATGAACTTGCCTTGCGCCTATCTCTGCTTGGAATAATCACTGTGAAGCCAAAGCAGTTTCTCTCCTTTTGGAACCAAGTCTGAAGTTGCAGCATCTCAAGTGCCCAACCTGCAATGTGGATACGAGGTAAACCTCTCAGGAAGAAAGCATGTCTTCTACAAGGCCCTCCAGTGGTCTCCTCTACACAGGGCTGTTAGCAATGACAAGGCACTATATGTTTGCTGTACAGAAATCTACATCATGTTTCAGTTATAGATCCATGGTGTAAATTTGGGACTGAAAACTAATGCCAACTTCATTGTTGGTAAACACATGTGGATGTACTTACTGTCCTGGAGCCCGAGTGGATTGCAACAAATCAAATCCTGATCCTCCCCTCTTTGAGCAGCACCAGTTGCTATCACAAGTAAAAATCCCTCAGTCTGGGTCCATATAAAGCAATGCCCTGATGTTGTGTAACAATACAGAGTTTACAGCTCTTCACAGCAAAACTACAGTAGCACTCAACATCTCTACTTCTATCTTTCATTATACAAAGAGTGTTCCCTTACCATAGCAACTCTATCTTTTGGTTCATGCAGAATGAGGATTGAAGGTTCTGCCCCAACGTTTGAAGTAAACAAGTAATTCTGTTTTATTGGGTCAAGCACAACAAACACAGTATGCGAATTCTTAGTTCCTTCTGTCCCAGTTCACACTCTGCATTTCCTTAAAATTATTTTATTCTCACTTTTGAGCACTCTACTAGAACTCTACTACTAGTTTTTAATTGTTACTGCTCCTTAGTGTTTGTGCTCTGCAAGATGGTTGGCTTTTGCAATGAAGGGGATTTTTTGGCTGTACAGAGAAAAAAACCTGACAGAACAGAGAAAGAAAATCATTGTAATAATCTGTGATGTTCATCTATATAGTTTAAAAGCAGAGCATCAGCTGTACAACAGCTTGGAAGCCTTCTGCATCAGGGGTTGTTTGCTTGCTTTGCAGATCCTCAGAGGACCTGGTATCCTTTCAGATTATACAATAAAGCCTAAAACTATGGTGGCAGCTCAGCAGCTAAATAAGAAGTTCCAGGTATTTTTTAATGTCATTATTTTAAGCCACATTAATGACATGTACAGGTAAGCCTTATGACATATGCATCCTTTAGGTTGATAATGTATAAACTCTACTCAGTATTCACTTATCCCAGTACAGTTTACTTTAAGAGCCTGATGAACTATCTGTAAGATCCAGTGAAGTCACTGGTGTGATAGAACATCAAAGCTGTGATAAAGTGAAAGCACTGACCTTAATATTTTATGTACAACATAAAAATATTATTAAACTTTGTGTCTGAACATGCATAGACACAGCTTGTGAGGGGAGACAGCAAAGGTATGTCATTAATTCTCTCGGTAAAAGCTTGAAAACCCCAAAGGGATGCAGAGGGGCTCTGCAGAGAACAGAGGGTTTGCACTAACTGAAGCAAGGGAGGGACACAGGCTTCCCTTTCTGCTGCTCCACTCCACTATAGACAGGCTTTCAACAAAGCATTCTCTCAAACTATGCAAAATAGTTTTTCTGTCAGCTTCTACCTTCAAAGTACAATTGCTGAAAGGGACAGACAGGTTACGACCTGCAAGGCTGTAAGGTGAAAGTGGGGGAAAGATCAGCTAATCACAGAAAATTAGACATAAAATTCAGGAAAAACAAAACAAACCCAAAAACCATGCATCAGGTTTTGATCTTTTGATTCTTTTGCTCAGGAATATGTGTTTACACATGCAGAATAGTTTTACCACCTTATTTCCAAAATCACAGAATCATAGAATGGTTTGGGTTGGAATGGACCTTAGGATCACCTAGTTCCAACCCCCTGCCATGGGCAGGGACACCTCACACTAGACCATGTCACCTAAGACTTTGTCCAGCC